TTAAATAAATAACTCAGAAAGGGAGAGTTTAATGTAATCAGACTGGACAGGGCTAGAGAATCAGTAGAAGTGGGTTGATACCAGAACCGAAAGGAAGGCTTCAGGTTTTTATATGAGTGTCAGTAAAATGAAGTTCCTAGTGTTAACTGTTCACTCCAACTTTAGAAAGCCTTTTTTAAACTTCTCCACTGCAGTTTGGACAAAAATGAAAAATAGACAAATGGTGTTAACAAAAAGAAGATTGGTCATTTGACTGTACAGCAACAGAGGAGTTAAGTGGAAGTTGCAGTCTTGTCATGCATTTTTCATAAACATTCCACTTCATCACACACAGTTAAACAAACAAACAGATTTGAATTAGTGACTGTAGACAGAACATCAACAGCTCTATATGTGGCAGTGCTGTTGTAATACTGGCCAATAATCACAGCTCATGTTAATTCCAAAAACTACATACAAATATTTCTTGGCTACATTTTCAAAGCAGTGTTAGGAAGTTATGTGCACTAATCCTGTAACAATAACAGGATTTGTGTTTTGAACTCCACAACCAAAGCTTTGAAAAAATAACTCTAAGGGTCTAATGCAGCAGTTAAAATAATCCCCTGACTCCTATCCTCTGTGAAATATGGGCAACTTTTCAAATATGATTGACACACTTTGGTGAATCCTGACATTAAAATCACCCATCCCCCAGGGATTTGAGATCATAAATAAATACAAAAGGAAGGTCAGATATTAAAATGGACTTCGGGTTCTTTCTCAGTGAGAAAATTTGTCCTGGAAACCCCCACAAAAGTGTTACCCGAGGTAGAGAGGTGAGCATTTTCTTTAACTGTTGTATAATGAAAGGAAATGTGACAGCAACTGTATTCTGGGAGGATCTGATCATGCCAGGTGTTGTGCACCACCTCTCAGCTCCTATTTACTTCAGTGTGAGATGGAACCACTCAATACCTGGCAGAATTAGGCCTTTTTGTTTCCCCTAGCTCAGTGTTTCTCATACTGGGGGTCCTGACCCAAGAAGGGATTTCAAGACTATTGTGGGGAGGGAGGGGGAGTCATGAGATGGTATGGTATTGCCACCCTTAGTTCTGTGCTGCTGCTGGTGGAGGCGCTGCCTTCAGAGCTGGGTGATTGGAGAATGATGGCTGCTGGCCGGTCACCCAGCTCTGAAGGCAGTGCCTCCTCCAGCAGCAGCGCAGAAGTAAGGGTGGTATGGTATGGTATTGCTGTATTTTCCCCCCTCCAGCAGTGTCCCTTATTTGGAAACTTGAAATATGATCATGCTACTTTATACTTTTTGAAAGGCTTCAGTGCTTTTGACTGCAGGAATAATGATTACGTGCTTCATTTAGTGCTCCTTTGAGTATGTATATTAATTTGCTATAACTTTCGAGAATCGCTTTTTGTTGTTTTTTCATATATTCATGCATTGAACAAAAATTGGAAGTGAATTCAGTAGTCAATGTAGGAAAGTAGAAAATGTGACTCTGAAAACTTTCAACCAAATCTTTTCTCAAGGATAGCTCTGGTTTGACTTCAAAGGAAACCAAGATTTGGCCCCTACCTGCAACAGAAAAATGATTCCCTACATTAAGGATTTGTAGAAGCTAATAGGAGTTGAGGGCCTTTAGTATCTTGCTAGAAGCTCTCTGACTCTCACAGGATATGGTTTCCAATTCTGAATTTAAAGCATTTCTTTGGCTGTGGTTTTTAAAGACATTTTCAATAACTATGGCTATACCAGGTACATCTATAGATTTTAGTCAAATTTGTCATCTCAAGCATTGTTGGCAAACCCGGTTATCACAATACCCTAAATAAAATCCTGTCAATGTGTGACTATAAAACATAATAACAATACATTCCTTTTTATTCCCACACTGCTCAAACCTGAAGCTTTCTGAGCACCATAAAAATTACAAATTTCAAACAAAAAACATGACCTAATAATAAAACAATTACATCAAAAGTCATTAAACCACTCTTCCCAAATTGATAAATAGCCCTTTCTCCCACAAAGTAAAGGAAATGGGGGAGGGGAGAGATTAAATTTGAGAGACTGTGGGAACAGATTGCTAATGTAACTTGCTAATGTAATTCTCGGCTCTCTATGAGCTGAGGGGCGAAAACATCTATTTTCTTCTTCTAAATGGCAAAGTCGCTTTTACTAAAAATGACCAAAAGATGGCAGTGCTCTATGCACTGTTTATTTGCAAATGTCTCACTTTACAGTGCTTATCCATTCTTCTTCAAGTACATCCCAGAAAACTATAAGCTTATATATATCAAAAAATCCCATTGTGGCCACATCTGGTTTTTCAATAAGTGTGTTTAATATGTTTTAGCAGGCATTGCCTTTGCTAAAATGTTTCTCTAAAAACAGTGTTATTGCTTCATTGTGTATATCCGGCAAAAGACATATCTGGCTTCAAGACTAAACTTGATAAGCTTATGGAGGGGATGGTATAATGAGATGGGTCTTTGACTATTAGCGGTAAATATGACCAATGGCTTGTGATGGGATGTTAGATGCGGTGGGATCAGAGTTACTACAGAGAATTCTTTCCTGGCTGGTATCTGGCTGGTGAGTCTTGCCCACATGCTCAGGGTTTAGCTGATTGTCATATTTGGGGTCGGGAAAGAATTTTCCTCCAGAGCAGATTGGCAGAGGCCCTGGAGGTTTTTCACCTTCCTCTGCAGCGTGGAGGCACTGGTCACTTGCTGGAGGATTCTCTGCACCTTGAAGTCTTTAAACGATGATTTGGGGACTTCAATGGCTCAGACACAGGTTTGATACAGGAGTGGGTGGGTGAGATTCTATAGCCTGCGTTGTGCAGGAGCTCAGACTAGATGATCATAATGGTCCCTTCTGACCTTAAAGTCTATGAGTCTCCTAGGGCAAGGGCCTGTACCTCTGAAGCCAGACAATTTTGCCACTGACTCAGTTGGCAGCAGTATTGGGCCCATAGTGAAGCTAATGAAGCTAAAACCTTCTTGATCCCTCCACACAGGCGAAATGCTGGACCCAGGGCTTAGCTCATGTAAAAGATCCATGCAGGGCAGGTGGCAAAGGTGGGTTTTTTCTATCTTGGCTGTCGGGCAATAATGGAAACATGCCTGCAGATGCTATTATAGCTATAGGTCTGTATTAGAGTTGCCAGGCATCTGGGTTTTCACCGGAACACCCAGTCGAAAAGGGACCCTGGTGGCTCCTGTTGGCACCACCGACCAGGCTGTTAAAAGTCCAGTCAGCAGCACATCAGGGGCCTGGGGCTAAGGCAGGCTCCCTGCCTGCCCTACCTCTGCATTGATCCCAAAGTGGCTGCCAGATCCTTGCAGCCCCTAGGCACATGGGTGGCCAGGGAGGCTCCGTATGCTATCCTGCCCCCAGTGCTGGCTCTGCAGCTCTCATTGTCTGGGAACCGCGACCAATGGGAGCTGCGGGGGTGGCTCCTGCGGGCACAGAGGGCATCGCGTGGAGCCTCCCTGGATGCCTATGTGCCTAGGGGCTGCAGGGACCTGGCGGCCGCTTCCTGGGAGCCACGGTAAGCGCCGCTGGACCCCATACTCTGAAACCTCTCCCACACCCCAAACCCCTGCCCCAACCCAGAGTCCCCTCCTGCACCCAAACTCCCTCCCTGAGCTTGCACCCCACACGTCCCCAACCCCCTGCCCCAGCCCAGAGCCCCCTCCTTCACCCCAAACACTCATCCCTGGCTCTACCCTAGAGCCCGCACCCCTCGCCAGAGCCCTCACTCCCTTCCATACCACAACCCTCTGCCCCAGCCCAGTGACAGTGAGTGAGGGTGGGAGAGTGCTAGCGATAGAGGGAGAGGGGGAATGGAGCGAGCAGGACCAGGGCCTCAGAGAAGGGGTGGGGCAAGGGCAGGGACAGGGCAGGGGTGAATGGGCACTGAAATTTGCTACACAGCATGCAATCAGTGGGCACTATGAAATCCCACACGTGATAGTGACTTGACTACCTACTGCCTGAAAAAGTGCAGGGCGGATGATCAGTATCCAGACTGAAACTTTTGGTTGATTAAGCAATAGAACCATCTGAGCCAGTGAAGATTGACTCATATTAATGGCTAGGATTCATAGAATATCAGGGTTGGAAGGGACCTCAGGAAATCATCTAGTCCAACCCCCTGCTCAAAGCAGGACCAATCCCCAATTAAATCATCCAACAGATTTTTGCCCCGTATCCCTAAATGGCCCCCTCAGGGATTGAACTCTCAACCCTGGGTTTAGCAGCAGGCCAATGCTCAAACCACTGCACTATCCCTCCCCCCATATCAACCTGTGGGTCTGATCCTGTTTCCATTGAATGGAAAGTGAACACAAAAGGAGTGTGAATTTGACAGATGCAAACTCATTTTAAAAAGCGTGTGAATATCTATGGAAAGTTTTCTTGTATTTGCCCAGTTCTCTCTGTCTAGGTTCCTGTATGGGCTAATAACACATTATTAAAACAACAAAACTAATTCTAACTATCTTTTTATATTACTATGGATTCTGACAATCTACTTCTTGCATTTCTCATAACTTAGATCATGAAGATTGGCTAGTCATTTTCACTGATAGTCCAGTTTCATTTTCAAGTTCTCCCTGACAAGCCCCATACCGTTACACGTATGGTGTAAACACTGGGTGTGTTTGCTTTCAAAAAACTCTTTTTAGTTTGTATACATTTAACTGTAGCCCTCTTCGTACTCTGTGCGTGTTACTTTTTTTCTTAGATTGCAAAGTCTTTGGGGCAGGAACTATTTCTTTGTTTTCACAGCACTTAGCAAAGTGGGGCTTCAATCCTGAGTGGAACAGCAATATAAATATTAAATATCAACGATAGTCATCAGAATTGTACACAGCCATTTTGGCTCAAATTTGATCTGGCAGTAGCCCTTTCATTAACCCACCATCAAAAAAGGAACATGTTCCCAGTCCAGGACAGTTTTAGTGCCACAAAATTATTAGCTGTAATTCAGACTTACCATGCTCATTGGGTCTCACAGGAATTCTTCCTTTTTTCAGGATCAGCAACAGGGCCAGGCTAGTCAAGCCACTGTAAAAAAGAGAAACAAAACCACTCTCCCTAGTTATAGCTGGCTCACGTGAATGAGGCAGTTTTTTTTTTTAATTAATCAACCACAGATGATTTCTGTGTTACTGGGCTACCCTTGTGGGACACATTGCATCCTAATCCTAGTACCTGAAGTGATTACTTGCTTGAGGAGCACTTTCCTCTCCCTTCTGTGTGGGGGAAGATTTTAGTATCTTTACCACCACACACTACGTGCACCCATTATGTTTGGTTTACTCTGTCTCTTAGGCCTGTCTACACTTTCCTCCCTGACCCCCACCAGTGTGGCTATCCTGATGTAGCTGCATCAGTGTGCAAATATAGATGTGCTTACTGCTGTTTTAAAGTGATTTGCACTGGCAGTTTATCTCCGTTTATAGCCAGGTTACACTGAACCAGTGAAAGCCACTCTTTATACTGGAGCAGCATATTTACCTTAGGAGTTTGCACTGGCACATCTATATCTGAGTGGAAAACACCCTAGTGTGGACAAAGCCATAGAAAAAGATTTTCTTTTTACATTACAAAATTTAAAATAGAGTTCCTTCTCCTAATAAAACAATGGAAAAACTGTCACTGACTGGGAGCAAAATAAGGCCCAGATTAAATAAATATATATTTACACACACACACTGGGAAAAGAATGGAATGGATGTTACACAAAAGGCTTAAATTACAGAAATTATGAACACCCACAGCTACCATTGAACTCATGTGGGTGCTGAGGACTTCAGAAAATCAACTGCACAAAGTAAAACTGGAGGGAAAAAATAGATTTCCCCCCCTCCCCCTACTGTTCTAGTTAATCTTGGGTGTTACTTCCAGTAACAATGGTCGGTAAAAACAATTGTGATAATGTGATTTTTAAGATGGTGTTGTCCCTTTAAAAATGAGTTAGGTTTGTTTACAATTATTTCAATTTTAATAATCTAAGATCTTCCTTATTAGTGACAGATGTTTGTTGAATTCCTAAATGCCTGCTATTCTGTGACTAGTAACAATTATTAATCAAGAAATTTATAATCAAGCATATAACAAAACAATGGAAAGTAGAAGATAAAAGTACATGTTATCACATGGCGGGGGGGGGGGGGGAAAGAGGGCAATCATTAAGCCCCAATTTGATCTTTTCCATGTATGCAAGTGCGCGGCTTACTGTACTTCTCTAAACAAAAAAGTTAGCTCGTCAGCTTTTCTGCACGTTTAATAAAATTAGAAAAGCTCCCCAAAGGTGTGCTGTGATATTAAAGTCCATTTTATATGCTCTGTAAAGTTTTCCCTTGTGTGCTTGTAGGCACATGCGTAGTTGGGAAACCTCTGCTGATTCCTCTGAGTTATGTGTAGCTGACATGGCTGAAATCAGTTGCAGAACTGGGAAAAGACTGGAGAATGTGTCATAAGAGCTGCTGCAAGCTGTGCTTATAAGTAAATAATATTAATCCCTTCAGAGCAGTGTACAACCAAATTATTAAAGCTGGTTCCTGAAGAAAGTTAGAACAGAACTTAATGAAAATGTCATGCTTGGTGAGTTATTAGTCCCTGCTTTAGTGTTGAGAATTGTGATATTTCTTTACCTTTTATCCAAGGATTTGAATCCTGAGGGGAAACACAGCTACCTTTATAAGTAGGCTTGGCAGAATTTAATTTTTTAAAACTGACAGATATCTTTTCTTTTAAGCATTTTTTTTTCAATTTTTATCTATGTAAATTTTCACTGCTATGGGAAATTATAGGGGGGTCAGATAACTATGTTGAGTAGATTTAGTAGATGTTGATATTCAAAAAGTTAAAACTTTATAACTGTTAAAACACATTGTATATTTTGACATGATGTTGACAAAGTAAATGGAACTTGGTTTATTTATTTTGGTTTAAGGATAAATTCCCAAACAGCATTTTTCTTATTTTGCCTGTCTGTATATTTCTGTTATTATCAATAGAAATAATTTTTCATTGGTTTGTGTGTCAGATACCACAGAATATGTGAATATGCTCCGAAGAGAAAGTATGGGATATACACCTCAACACATTTAACGCCCCCTTCATGAAACAAGGACACCTCACCAGAGAAGTAGATTGCATCAGGGAATGGGCCACCCAAATACCCCGAGAGAACCTACTTCAATACAGAAATGAAACCCACTCCGACCACACCCCCTACCACTCCATATTGGAACCTGTGAACCCATATGGGGTATTATCAAACTAAACCCATACTCAGTGGGGACCCTGCCCGGAAAGAAATATTTCCTGAACCCTCACTTCTGGCCTTCAAACAACCCCCCAACCTCTCCAAGTTCATCAGAAGCAAGTTCCTCACCGACCAGAGGACACCAACTCAAAGCAGCATCAGACCCTGCTAGAACAACCGATGCAAAACCTGCAGACATAGCTCCATTGCTACAATGGTCAACCCCACCAAAACACACCTTTCACAATCCATGGATCCTACACATGCCTATCATAACATATAGTATACCTCATCCAGTGTACTAAATGCCCTAATAACTATGTGGGTGAAACCAGATAATCACTATGCTCTTGAATGAACTTACACAGGAAAATAATAAAAGACCAAAACACCCTATCACCTGTGGATGAACACTTTTTTCACAAAGCAATCACTCTGTCTGACCTATCAGTCCACATCCTCAAAGGAAACATACACGACACCTTCATAAGACGAGCTTGGGAATGGGAGGTTAAATTCATAGCTTTGCTAGACGCTAAAAATACTGGACTGAACAGAGACACTGGATTTATGGCTTATTACAACAATCTGTAATCTACTAACCCCCTCTTTCAGTCCTATGACTGAAGAGTTGTTAATAGGCCACTCTACCTTGAATGGTCCCTTAGAATATTTCCTAATTACTTATGCTAAACAATCTGCTCCACCTTGTATTTAGCTGTGATGCTGGGAGTACCTTTCCCAGACATGAAGAGCTCTAGTGGCTCAAAAGCTTTTCTCTCTCACCAACAGAAGTTGGTTCAATAAAAGATATTACCTCACCCATCTTGTGCCTCCGTATGGTGAAATCAACATTTACCGACATTTACTGATAAAAATCCATTCCTTCTATGCCTAATTATAAACCAAACATTAACTGTTGTTTGGACTGGAGAAAAACAGAAAGTGAATTATGACAGCAAAGGTGGTAGCAGGATATGAAGGGGATTTCTGAATGGCTAAGGTGAAAAGGGTATTTAAATTGGGTGTGTGCTCTAGATGTTACTATGTCCAATACATTTGAATTGACCATGTGAGAGGGTCTGAGTACTAATATTCATGCCAGACTTTGTAAAGTTTCTTTCATATGGGGGCATTTTAAACATGAACATATTTTATGTTGCCCATTGTTTAAATTTTACTAAAATCTCTCTTTAAAATGCTTTTCAGGTGGCTTCAGAAACAAATAATGGAAAGCTAGATGCTGGCATAAATCCACATAACTCTTTGAAGTTAATGGAGCTACATCAATTTACAACAGCTGAGGATCTGGTCTATCTGGTCATAATTTTTCCAGGGACTGAGGTGAGGCTGACTGAACTACAGGCCAGTCAGCCTCACCT